GGCGAAAACGCCACTTTCTCCCTCGTTGCGAATGGAAACCTCGTCCTAGCACATTCCGACGGCCGAATCGCTTGGCAATCGAACACCGCCGACAAGGGCGTGGTTGGGTTCGAGCTGCTCAACAATGGGAACATGGTGCTCAAAGATTCCGAAGGCAGATTCGTCTGGCAGAGCTTCGATTCACCCACCGACACCCTCTTGGTGGACCAGTCTCTTCGAATCGGAGGGCCGTCGAAGCTAATCAGCCGAGCATCGCCTGAAGAGAACAAGAACGGGGAGTACAGTTTGGTTCTGGAACCCAGAGACCTAGCTATGTATTTCACTGGGGCAAAAAGTCGAACACCTTATCGGTACTTTTCATTCCTCGCAGCAAACCGCCTCTTCCTCCCAAACAACACCACTTTAATCAACACCACCTTCAACGCGAACCTGGGTTTTGACGCACAAGTCACCAACGACGGCGCCGGAGGCGGAGGGACGTTCCTGAAAAACCCACGGTTCAACACCACTCTGTCGTACCTCCGCCTCGAAATCGACGGCAACCTCAGGGTCCACACGTTCATAATCAGCACCGATTCCGACGGGTTCCAGACCCAGCTGTGGGAAATCGCGGTGACCATATTCTCCGAAGACGATCTGTGGGCTCTGGAGACGAAATGCCAGCTGTCGGGTCGGTGCGGCGAGTTCGGAGTCTGCGAGGACAGCCAGTGCGTCGGGTGCCCGACTCCGAACGGGCTGGCGGGTTGGAGCAGAGATTGCAAGGCGCCGAAGTTGAACGACTGCGGCGGGAAGAAGAAGGGCGACTTTAAGTACTTCGAGCTGAAAGGGGTTGATCACTTTGTGGCCAAGTATACGAGAGGTGATGCGCCGGTGAAGCAGCAATCCTGCGCCGACAAGTGTAGCAAAGATTGCAAGTGCTTGGGCTATTTTTACCACAGTGATGCGTCGAGGTGCTGGATTGCTTACGAGCTGAAGACGATGACCAGGGTCGCGAATTCGACCCATCTGGCTTTTATTAAGGCGCCGCTTCTGTAGATGAGTGAAATTTGCTTTGCCAATTTCGTTTTTTACTCTTTTGTGCCAAAAGACAAAATGGAATAATGTTGACCTTTTGGGAAGTTGTCACCCCGGTTAACAGATTTTAGTTAAACAAATTTGGTTGGTAAGAGTGACTGAGTGAAAACTGAAAAGAACGTATTCAAACTATTTCAATCTACTACTTATATTATCTGGCCACAAAAATAAACTATTGAGCTTCAATCTGATAAATATGAAAATGGCAAAAAGAAAAAAAATCTGACAAATACGAAGCTTGTGTAGTATTTGTTTTTTTTTATAATTAAATACGAGAAGCTTGTTTTGTAATTTACAGAGTTGATATGTACATAACCTGTGTGACCATCTGAGTAGAGATATTTCACAATTGCTTGTTAGACGAAAGTCTTTGGGGCTAGAATTTCTAGGTTAAATTTAGAGTGGCTAAATTACTAGTTTGGTCACTCAGATTATATAAATCTTTCATGTTTGCCACCCGAATTACTTTTCTTTCATATCTGCCACTAATTTTACGAATTGTTTCATCGTCAGTCTCCGTCAGACTCTGTTAACTCCGTCAATTATTTGATGACATGGCAAACAGAAATGTTGACTGGACTGTTAGTTTAATGACATGTCAATTGAAAAATATTAAAAAATAAAAATTAATTAATTGAAAGGATGTTGTTCCAGTCGTTTTTGCCGATCATATCTCCGTCGTCGGTTCATTGCAACCCATTCCACAGCTGCAGCAGCAGACTACCGTCTCTGCTCGCGATTTAGCAGGCGACCAGTTCTTCATACGCACCGCAAGCTCGCCTTCGGCACTAAGGTCGAGACTCTCAATCCCGACAAATGTATCACCGTGTCCACCACCGATTCGCCCTCCGCCCCCAAGATCTTCATCGGCAGTGTCGAGATCACTCGTCCAGATCTGTTCAACAACGGATTTCTCGTGATTCATGAAATCCAAGGGCGAGGAGAGGAAGAGGCAGCGACCTTCTATGCAGATCTCAAGGTGGGAACAAGGTGAGAGAAAGAGAGGAGAGAGGGAATGGACCAGATCTGAAGGCGACGACACCCGACCACCGTGTCGAGGACGTACCACGCCGCTGCAGTCCTCCTTCGCAACAGAGGGTACTCTTTTACGGGAATGGAGCTTCGACGGGGTGAGGCCGACGATGAAGATTCTTGCCTAATTCCATCACCGTAAGTAGACAACAATGAGAGAGACTTGTTGGTGCTCTTCAATTTTGATTCTCTCAATCTAAAATGAAGCTGAAAAGGCTTGAATTTTCTATGGTAACGAATTAAATTTGAAAAGCCTTGGTAAATTGGAAGCTTTAACCTGATGCCGCAGACTTGGGATTATATTAGGGATGTTTTTTGTTATTTTATTATTTTTATTATTTTAATTTTTTAAATTGATATGTCATGAAATTAATTGTCCAGTTAGCAATTCCGTTTACCACATCATCAAATAACTGACAGAGTTAATGGAGACTAACGGTCGATGGCTAACGTGACACCATTCATAAAGTTAGTGGCAGATATGAAAGAAAAGTAATTTGGGTGACAAACGTGAAAGATTTATATAATTTGAGTAACCAAACTAGTAATTTATCCAAATTAGAGTAGTGTATTTGAATATGTTCATCTGAATCATTTTTCTAGTTACACAATCTTATTATAAAATAACACTGGGCCAAATGCCTAAATCGAAAAAATTCATAAAGACTATACTAGCTCCGGATCCAAGGACGGCGGGTCGTGGCCCGGGGTGGCCACCCCCTGGATCCGCCACTGGTACATGCTTGACTATCTTTCTTTGTAACTAAGCAACGATTCTACTATCCATCGTTTAGAGAGTCTAAGATGACTCACTTGGGGTGATATGTATGGATGACAATCAAACTCATAACCACAGATATACAACCGCTCCCGACCCAGTCAACGTGGGGAATTCCCGCTTTGAACGGGTATGGGTAAAACCCGCAAAATATTTGATGGTTATGGGGTGGGTATGGTTTTAGCCTCCCCCCATACTCATACTCATACCCACCCCATCAAGAACATTTCTTCAAATATATAAAGAAATAGATTAAATTGTAAAATATCAATAATAGTGAGGGTAACTTAAGAAAATATTTAGCAGAAATGTAATTTAATTTGGTGGCCACCCAAATCAAAACCTAATTCAAAAGATAGAATACATATCTAATAAGTAACATCCATTAATTCAAAAGATAGAATACAAAAGATAGAACACATATCTAATAAGTAACATCCATTAATTCAAAAGATAGAATACAACGTAATCTAAATCGTTATTCTCTTACTCTAATACATATGTACTAACATAATCTTGTTAAACACGAGGGGAAAAAATCAAAGAGTGAAGGGAGAGTTGTATTAGAGTAAAAGAATAATGATTAAGATTACGTTGTATTCTATCTTTTGAATTAATGGATGTTTTCGGAGACTTTGAACCGTGTTAAGAATGATTAGTCTCTTTGTCGACTTCATTGTATAATAGGTGCGTTTAATGTTATAATTGAAAATTTACATATAAAATTTTAGGTGTTATAATGTTGAATGTACGGGGCGGGTATTACCCATGGGTATCCGAAACCCACGGGTATGGGGATGAGTTTGCAAAATCTTTCCCTACATGGGTATAGGGCGGGTATGGATTTGGATTTTTGAAAGCGGAGATGAGAATGGTTTAGACAAACTCACCCCAAACCCGCTCCATTGCCATCCCTAGTGATAAACATACATCATATAAACCTAATTGTACGACACAGTTGACCTATATAGTACTTTGAATTCAATTCAAAAGAGAAGAAAGAAACTAAAAATCATATAAAAATTAAGAGGACCACCACCCACCACAGTGCACGGTGTAGATGATAACTGAGGTAAACACCTTCGATCTTGCAATATCTTGGGTTAATTACATAATTATTGTTTTTGTTTTAATTTACCTTTTTTTTTAATTTACCACAAATAAGGCGGATTAAAAAGTATTGACACAGATATTGTGTATTTGTTTAGGGTTAGAGGCGGGGTCACATTTTAAAAAATTAAAAAGAGTCACGGGCGCTGGCGCCTGAGTCTGCAGCGCCCCCGCCTCCACCACTCCTTTTCGTATTTAAAACCTAGCGGTCGAACCTCCCTCCTCTTATCTTCTTCTTCTTCCTCCTCCCCCAACACCACACACCCCACATCCGCCGCCTCACCCGAACCAGACCGCCGCCATCGTCCGCAGACACAGCGCCACCGCCGCTGACACAGGCGCCACCGCCCAGACGCAGGCGCCTACGCCGCAGACAGAAGGGCCACCGTTGTAGACAGAGCTGCCACCGCCTGCGTCGACCGAGATGTCGTCCGACGAAGACGAAGCAGTCGCCGGCAGAGGCAGGGGGAGAGGCCGGCGAGGTCGTGGAGGAGGCTACCGTTTTCATGGTGAGAGTCTCGCCGCCGGCGGGGTTTTTTTTGCATTTTTTTTAAGTAATGTTTTTATAGCTTTTGCAATTCCTAGGCTTATGGACCCTTATTCGATGAGACTACCGCCTGCGACAATTGATCCAGCTTCGGTCGATCCTGTACTTCTTTGGGGACATGGCCAACATCGTATCGACTCGGTTTGGGCAAACGAGGTAAGTATTTGATAATTATTCATAGTTAATTAGCTAGTTACATTAGATTATTTTAGTTGGTGAACTGAACTATAAGTAAGTTAGAATATAATTACGTATCAAATTGAAATTAGCTAGATTTGAATTTACTAGGTGAAATTAGAATTATTACGAATGAAATTGAATTAATATAAGTTTTGTGCACTATAGACTGGTGATCGATCTTATCATGTTCGAGGTACGACCATGTTAGTCACGTACCATGAGCGTTATCAGCCATATCTCGGAGCGGCTGGCTTGTCTAGTATTTTGCCCCTGGTCCCTATGAACTCTGATGCGAGTTTGATTACTGCGCTCGTAGAGCGGTGGCGACCTGAGACGTCGACCTTTCATTTACCGTTTGGTGAGGTCACGATCACGTTAGAGGATGTTGTGACACTGTCTGGTCTGGCGATCGACGGTGATGCCGTCGTAGTTGACATACCAGATGAGGATTGGCCGACGATCTATTTGAGACTGTTAGGATGGATTCCAGATGATCTTTCAGGCGGTGTTGTTAGGATTGTTTGGCTGAGGGAGGAATTCAGTCATCTGCTGGAAAATGCCTCCCAGGAGGTTACAGAGCAGTTTGCATGAGCTTATGCTCTATCTCTTATGGGAGGTGTATTGTTCCCGGATCAGTCTGGAGCTATGGTACACCTACAATACCTACTTCTGATTGAGGATTGGCAGAGAGCTGGACGGTTCGCCTGAGGAGCAGCTGTTCTATCCTACCTGTACCGTGAGATGGGTAGGTCGGCTTTGCACATTACGCATTCCTCCACTTCTCTAGGAGGTGACCTTGGTGGATGGGTCGCCCTACTGCAGCTCTGGGCGTGGGAGCGATTCCCACATCTGACACCGCGACATTCAGAGACGAGGGCGCAGATTGGCGAGGATGCATCCCCACGTGGTCTTCGATGGCTTCCGGCCAGCACTCGTCAGTATGGTGACCAGCTATTCCAGTACAAGTTGTGGTTTGACGAGATGGAAACCATGGTGGTTAGTATATAACATTTCATTTTATAGAATAGATTTCATTAGTTTGTTTTAGATTTAGGGATACTAACTTGACCAATTTTTTTGTGTAGTGGCAACCTTACGTTGAGAGAACAGTTCATCTCAGAGGTAGTGTGATACAGTTTGAGACGTTTCGAGCAGTAGTGCCACTGATTTGCTTTTCAGCGGTGATGTGGCACCATCCAGACCGCGTGCTCCGGCAGTTTGGCATGAGGGAGCATGAGCCTCATCAGCCACATCCTGAAGTTGAGGTTAGGTTTTTTCTACGTCAGACTACTCGTGGGTCATCGCGTGGCCAACAGTTGGTACACGCCTCCAGAGAGTCGCTTGCTTTCTGGAACCGTCGACATGAGTTTGTAGCGATGGCTCTATACAGTGCTGAGGTTTTACCACTCGCAGCATATGGAGTGGTATCGAGATGTCACCAACGTTCAGGCACACGGAGAGGAGTTGTAGTGGAGGCATTGGTTAGTATTTTTTTGTTTAATATTTTTTTTGTATTTGTCTTGAATTTCTTAACTGTGTGAAATTTCTGACATTTCAATTTAAATTTTAGTACGAAACTTTGGAACATGCTGAGTTGAGTTTACGTGACGGAGTACGGACTGGAGTGATGTCCACCGACCAATGTGAGGAGTTGGCCAACATGATGGCATCAGGGTTGCTACTTTAGGTTTCGAGCGGCGCAGACACCCTGATCTCACAGTACTTGTACAACCAGCTTATGATCAGCCCGTCATGGCTTCCTGGCCAGAGCGTACTGATCCAACACCGGACTGGGTCTTCCCGGAGCCACTGTTCAGACAGGAGCATAGGTCTCGTAGGTAGTGACGTGAGCATCGTGATGTACCTAATCTAGTCCGGATTTCAGATCGATAGCAATCACAACCCGTCCGCCCTACTACGACCATCCAGTTTAATCCACCTTTTCAGCCAGACACGTATTCGGGACATTGGAGCGATGCTACTTCTTCACGTTTTCAGGCAGGACCACATTCAGCCTTTCAGCCTCCTCCTCAGCCGCAGTTTCAGTCGGATCCTTCTTCGAGCTTTCAGCCTCCGCCTCAGCCGCAGTTTCAGTCAGATCCTTCTTCGAGCTTCCATCCACCAGAGGATAGCTTCCATACCCCGCAGCATGCTACGATGAGACGCGGATACATGGCCTCAGGTGACGATACTAAAGCAGCCTCGTCTCCCAACCCGTGGGATGCTCTAGAGGGTGATACAACCTTTCAGGAGACGATGTGGAATTATGGCAGCATCTTCAGTCTAAGCAGCATGGTGGCGGTGTACCTGAGGAGCAGATTCAGTCTCAATAAGATGATATGTTCGGTACACATGATCAAGATGGTGGTGTCAAGGGAGATCAGCCCCAAGAGTATGATGGTAGGCATCCAGGGTGCTTGCGAGGTGTGGTACTGGCGGCAATCTAGTGGTGGAGCAAGGTGGCCGTCGTGGTGGTCGTGGTGGTGGTCGTTAGTGAGAACATTATTTTTGTTATGTTATTATTTTGTACTTCTTTGGGACTATTATGTGGACTATTTTTAACTTCATGTATTATGTTATTAACGATAAATACTCGGAACAACTAATAACAAACAACAACTCGGACATTTTATAATTTGGCCAACAACAACAAACTGCGCATGGAAATACAACCACTACTTTAAACCATAACAACTACATGAAAAACAACAACAAGTACATTTGATTAAAATTCGACCAAACTACATACCACGTCTATTACCACTACTTCCTCTTCCACCACCTCTCCGACGTCGTTGGCCAACACTTCCTCTTCGCTGGCTCCCACTCTCACTTGTTTGGCCACCACAAGTTGATGCATTAGGTCCACTTTAGTTACAGTTGCTACACACTGTTTGAGATATACTCTCTCTTGGCCAATCCATCTCGTTGTGAATTCTTGTAACTCGTGGCCTCCCCGGCTTCCTAATCATGTGCACATTAGGATGGAGAATAGGACCATTATGCTTCTTCCAACCCTTAGGTTCACCAAGAGGTGTGAAACTTGTCCCATAACAAGCCAACACTGTTTCCAGCTTGTAGACATCGTTTACAAACCTATACGGATTAGCCCCCATTCGGTTGCAAGCTGCAATGGCATGAGAGCAAGGAATTTTGCTTCCTTGAAATTTCCCACAGGTGCAAAATCCCGCCCGGTTGCGGTCGTCAAAGTGCACTGTGAGTGTGTTTGACCCCGTCATGTTGAAATTGTTGGTAGGAGTCTGAACTACATAGATGCCTTGACGTCGATCAATCGCTGTCAAAGTAAATAGGACTACTTCTTGGTGGAGTACTGTGAAGGACCACTTCTAATTTCTGCTCCTGTCTCCAACCTCATCTTATCGAATTTCTCCACCAATCGCCAATAGATATGTTGCACAAGAGAAGATATATGAAGTGAACGAATACCTTTGTAAACACCATTGATGCTCTCTGCCATGTTGGATGTCATGATAGACCATCGACGACCACCATTATAGTGTTATTATGCGCTAAGCTCCAACGAATTTGATGTTGGTCCACCCATTTATCACAAGAAATTTTCTATCAGCCGCCACAATCTTAAATTGCTCAACTTGACGATCGAGCTTCTCCAAGCGTTTTTCTCCGGCTAACAAAGTAAATAACCACACGAGTTAGATAAAATCATGACAAAATTACATTAAAGTAAATAAAAAAATTAAATGAAGAAGGCTTACCGACTCGAAATATTTGTTTATACTGATTTTGCTTTTAGTCCTTCTTTGCAAGTTGCTTGCATAGTGTCGCATGCACCACCTCCACTCCCTACCTATTTCGATGTCACCCATGGCTTCATAGAGTCCCGCATGTCTATCCGAGATGATGCAGACATCATTTCGATCGGTCAAACCTTGAACGTGATTTATGAACCATGACCAACTTTCAGTATTCTCGCTCTCCACGATGGCAAATGCAATTGGAAAAATCTTCTTCCGGCCATCAAATGAGCTCGCCATGAGTAGCACTCCTTTATACTTTCCAGTAAGAAATGTTCCATCAACAACCATGACTCCTGGACAATTCTTGAATCCATCTATACAAGGTCCATAAGCCCAGAATACTCGCTGAAAGATCGAATGACCTGGTTGAGTTGAAGGAACTCTTACCCAATCAATCATTGATGTTGGCATTTTTCTCTTTACCACCCGCAAGAATGTTTGCAAATAATCGTAGTATTCTTCCCAATTTCCATGCAACTTCTCCAATGCTCTTTGTTTCCCATACCAAGCCTTCTTGTAAGTAACTTGCATATTAAATTTATCTTTCAACTCGGCCTGCACAGTTAGAACACTCAGATTTGGTTGGGCACGTACAAAATGTTTGACGGGCTCAGATATAATATCGACATCAAGATTGCGATGATCCGTCGGTTGAGTCGTACTACTACAAGAATGCACCAACTCGACCTTTCTCATAGTCCATTCGCTTTGGCACGCTAAAACACAACACCAAACTGCGACCAAGTGTAATCGCAGTCCGGAAATGCAGTAAGTGGCAAGCTCTATTTGTCAACCCGTGGCCTGGATCTACTGCCTACTCCGTGATTATTTATTATCTAGCAAACTAAGTCGAGTGATTGTGGTTTTAACTAAAAGCAGTAAGAAAGTAGGAAATGGTTCGGTTTTCTAAAGCAAGGGAAGAGTCACTCGGGAATGAGTCCCCCTAGCTCCTTTGTAAGGTCACAGTTGTAATTACTTTTGATTGCTTTACTATTGATTATACTGCGGAAGATCCGACATTAGCTTGGAATTTCTTAAGCTGACCAAGCCCTCTCAGTCAAACCACCCAGCAGACAACTAGTCTTCACCGGAATAGAAAGTTGAGGCTATGAACACAGAACTCCACTACTGGAACTGAATTCCAGTACAAAGCAGTGAATCGAATAACTCTCGTATAATCGATTCACTACTACCTATTGAAGAAGCTCTAACAACCTAATCAGATTCTATCTATCTCAGGTTGCAGCAGAAACCAATAAAAGATGATCAAACTTCAATTGACTCAATCAAAACACTTCAATCGATTATAGTCAAACAATATCACAATCCAAACGTCGTTACAACAATGATCCCTAACTCATAGAACTAGGGTTCTTCATACCCAATTGAAAGAGGATTCTACTCCATAGAGAGAGAGGAAAACAGCAAACAAAGGAGTCATACTCATCAAGATGGGAAGAATCTGCTCTGGGATGATGATCTTCACTCCAAGGATGATTTCCAAGCTTGATTGATGAAACCCAGCTCCAAAACCACTCTTAGGGGGTGTTCTTCACACTTTCTCTCTCTAGTGCTCTGTTTTTGCTCCAGAAAATTGATCCCCTCTCCTTAGGCTCGAAATTGGGTTAAAACCTAGAATTTCCCGACAACACGGCCAGGCCACATGTCCGTGTGGCTTTCCAGTCTGCCCGTGTGGATGTGAAATGCCGCGTTTCAATTAGTGGTCTTCAGGCACGCTGCACGGCCAGAAGTACACGGCCGTGTGGATTTCCAGTCTGACCGTGTGAGCTCCCTCGACTTTCCACACGGCCACAAGGGGTCCAATACACGGCCAGTGTGGCTTTGCCGCGTAATGGGATTCCACACGGCCACACCACATGACCGTGTGGCTTCTAGGTCTGGCCGTGTGGATTCCTCAGCTCCTCGCCAGACGTCCAACTTTCGTCCAATCGACCCGAAACTCACTCCCAAACCTCCAATCACGTACTAGGACCTGAAATAACACAAACGAGAACAACCTAGCATGAAATCGGCCTAAGATACGAGAAATCAGGCTAAAACGGCATAAGAATGGTGGATAAAAACATGTGTATATATCAAGTCATCAAATTCCCCCACACTTAACCGTTGGCTTGTCCCCAAGCAAACCAAGTCAGATTCAAGGTAAGCTCAATATATTTCAATCATACCAACATTGGGGACAAATCATAAAGACACAGAACACGTGAATCATATTGGCTTTTGATCATTGACATATGGACACATCAACAGCAACATAGACTACCACCACAGAGGACATTCAAGTGCAGCAAAATCGGGGAAAGGAAGAGGAATCATTTATGTTCACCAGCCAACATAGACTTGACTCAACCCCTTGATCAAGACAGTCATCGCATGCATCAAACTCAAGACATCTGAATCAAGACCGAGCCATCTAGGTCCTCACCAGGGTAAAGAGCATAAAGAACAAGGAAATGAATCGCTCACTCTCGACCAGTGGGGTCAGGACACTTTGATGCAAAAAAATGCGCATGCTTATTCTCTCAAATCCTAACGTCTCTTCACCATGATGGCAGCCTCTAAATGTTAGAGTTCACACAAGGGATGTCACCACTAACTAATCCGGAGGTCTTAGATACAGGTTCAAGTGACTGGCTAGGGTCTTGGACATGGGGAAAAAGCCTTTTATGTGGTGGAAGTATTCATAGCACAAGGTTCCACAGTTCCAAACCCAACACATTCACAACCAATCAAACCAGTAACTTTCTTTCTGCCATTCTGCATTACTCAAATTCTCTAGAGCACACGAGCGAATGAGGTCACAAAAATGTTAGTATTTCCAAGCCAGACTGCTAAGGAACACTACTTAATGAGCATGATTCGGATTTTTTTTGGGTAGTGACTCTCTTTTGCTTTCATTCATTTTTTTCTTTTTTTCTTCATTTTTTTCATTTCTTGAGAGAACCACCACCTCTGCACATTTTTCAAACACATGCCCAATTTTAAGCATTACCTTCAACCCTCACATTATATTTAGCAGAAACAGCAGAGAACATGCAAAAACCACTCTATGGAACCTTCTAAGAGATGCAAAAGGGTGATTTTCCAGTGTAGACCGAAAGAAAGAAAAGTATACGGCTCAAAGGGGCTTACTAGGGGGTATGACACACCAGGACAATCAATTTGATTGTGGGCTAATCCTATGCCTCCATCCAGTGGCGTAGCCAGGATTTCGTTTAAGGTGGGTCCACCTCGAAAAAATAAATATGATAAAATAGTTTTTTTTAATATAATATTACATTAAATTTTTTTGATAAATTAAAATACATTAGCAGTCGAAAATATTAAGAATATCACTCTGCATATATACCAAACAATCATTGATTTAGTTAGTCTTAGTGTTTCAAATGGTGTTCTTTGTTAAGAACTGTTAGTATCAATACCTCGAGTTGTTGATAGAGGTTTAACAATAAATCTTATACCAACCAATTATAATTCATGATTTACCTAGTTGTTCTCTTTCGAATGATGTTCCTAAACAAAAATTTAGAATCAATAAATCGAGTTGTTGGAAGATTTCAATAATATATTATACCATTTACTACCATGCTCCCTTATAAGAAAGCCAACTTATACGAAATTGATGTTTGCACAAATCTGTATACTGTATGCTTAAGAAATGAGGTCGCCAAGATTCAAACACAACTTTCGACCAACTATTCTCAATTAAATGCGACCTAGTTTTCAATATCAATTAACTTTAAAAAGAGTTAATCCCACTAATCCCCGAACCCTGTTCACCTAGACACAATTGACTATTCATTTTGATCCCATTGGTCGATGGCCTGGGCTGGGCCCGCCTTGAGTTCTTCTGTGTTGGAGACGTTTTTTGTCGATTCTGTGCCGCCGTTTCGGACGGATTGCAGGCCCTCTCTCTTCCTCCTTCCGTTTGCGATGGGAACCGCGTCGGCCTCAAATGGACGGTCATCTCCTCTAATTATTTCTTGGTGGTGACGGAGGCATGGAGAGGAGACGTGTTGTGTCAGGGAGTCTGTCTGTTCTTGATGGTGATGGTGGAGAAGTTTTGAGAAGAGTGTTGCTGTGCCAGGCCGCTAGATGACTCAAGACTCAAGAATCAAGAGAGATACGCAAAGAAGGGTACTTACCAGGCCAGAAGGGCAGGGGAGAGCTAAGATAAGTCTTCACTTTCTTCTCTCTCATTGATTGCGTTCACTCTCTATATTTCTTTCTTTCTTTCTTTCTTTCTTTCTTCTCTCTTTTTCATGCCCCTCTCTGCTATTGCTTCTCTCATCTGCTATTGCTTCTCTCTGCTATTTGAGAGGCCGGGGGAGTAATCGAATCGGAGGTGCCACAGATCCGCAAGGTTTGTTTCCTCTGTTTTTCATGATTTTTTTTACCTTCTTGCTAGATGGGATCGCCACCGAGTTCTCTCTTTCTTTCTCAACATGTTTTTAATCGCTTTTCAGGGAGATATCGGCACCGAGTTCACTGGGGAGAAGGGGATCGCCGAGAACCTGCCGGGGAGGAGAGAGGAGGAAGTGATGGTTTGGCGGTGAAGCGATGGCCGTAAGGAGGAGTTGAATCTCTCTCTCCCTCTCTCTCTCTCTCTCTCTCTCTCTCTCTTCCTTCTAAACTGATGTTCCCTCTTTCTAGCGGCCTTCTAAACTGATGAACCAGGTGAACGAAATAATTTCCTCTCTCGCTGTCTTTTAAGCCCACTAGAATTTCTCATAGAAATTTAATTTCTTTTGTGGTGGGTTCAATCGGCTGCCGTCAAATTGAAGCAGCAGAGGTCTATGTGGAAGGATATGCGATGGGAAGAAGGTTATTGGAATGGGATCAACGTCGGAGAGGGATGGTTGCCTGCAGCAACATCAGAAGCTCCGCCACATCGTCACTCTCCTCTCGCAGCTCCGCCATTTCGACCATGCACCTCAGAACCTTCGATTGCCTCCGGCAACTATGGTTGTTGCGAGAATCTCTCTGTTGATAGAGATGAGATTTGGAGCTGCAGAGTTCCTCCGTCGCAGTTTTAGGTATTTTCCCTCTTTGTCTATGGTACTGATCTCTCAATTCCGGGTTTGCCTTCATCTTATTGTCTTTCATTATCTCTTTTGCTATAAGTCATCTTGATTATTTCTTTTCGATTTTGCTGCAAGTTTCTTACGCTTTTCCCTCCTTTTCTCAGATCTGTGCACTGGTGCATCATGTGTCGAACCACAACATAGATCGAGAGCATCAAGTCTCCGATCGAGGTCTAAGTACGCCAGTACCCTGCATCTGCTTTTGCGACTACATTCATCTACCTTTAGTAAGTCGTTCTTAATCGCCCTGCCCATTTCACTCGGACAGATTCCTCTCCGGCTCACTACCATATGTATTTTTATTCTTTTTACATCCACAGAGGGATTCGGTGAGAGGTCAATGAAATAATGGTATCGATCGGTGAGCTTTCTGTCTCTTAACTTCTGTTTCGCTTTCATTCCTTTATTTTTGTTGTTGTCTGTGGTGACCCAAATATCTGTTGCTTAGGTTGTAGATTTAGGATGAGTTCGTTTTCCCCCTCATTTAGTGTTTTGGTGTTTGAAGGAGCTAGCGGTGTGGAGTTTGGTAGCTGAAACTGTTCATGATCGATTGGTGGGCGGCTGGAACTGTTGTTTAGCGGTGAGGAGGATCGCAATGGGATGTTTCTGTGATTGTATGGAGAATCCATCTCTCCGTTGCAGGTATTTTAGGGTTGGCTTTCGGTTTTTCGTAGTGACGATTTTTCCAATCGATCGATCTCTGGTTTATTTCCCCCTTTTTCTCCCTGTATCTCTGCGTGGTCAGCTACTGCAATTGGATGGGCAAGAAGCGGTGACCTGCTAATCGAATTTCTTCGAGGGTGAGTCTCTTGCAATCAAAATAGAAAACTCTTGCTCCCTTTTTTGCTTCATGCTCCCTGATTTGAGAGGATTATCAAGTTTTTAAGAAGAATTTGATTTCTAGGTCCTGTTTTGGGTTCGCGATGTGCTATACTGACTCTTTCTCTGTTTGTCGATTTTTCATGTGGAGTTTCTATACTTGTGTTCATTCGAGTGAGGTTCACACAAGTTGGGGCTTGTGACTTTCAGTGACACTTCTATTCTCCGATTTCTCCGTGGATGCTTCCATGTATTCAGGTTAGTACCTCAATCTCCATTTAATTGTTTAGTTTCTGTATTTTTCAGTTCATAAATTATTTTTTGTTGTTCTGTTTCAACATTTTGTGTTCGTGACTCATCCTTCGAAAAATGTTAAGCAACTAAAGATCGACCTTTGTCAAATTACAAGCTAGAACAGGACATGAAAAGTGTGATCAATGACCTTATTGACACTTTCACTTTCTACCCCTGCACTTATAGAATGTTATCGTTTTTGAGCAGGTTCTTGCGCAAGTTGCAGCATGTCCACCCCTTGATGACGAGGAAGAGAATTTGTTCAACATGAGGGTAAGTCTTCCTCAGTCTTGGTTGTTCATTTGACATGTCACACATAAGCGCTTGCTTCATCAAATGGGATTTTACTGTTGCTTGCCTCGGATTCCCATATCAGTATTCCATTTCCTCAAATTTTGTTTGGCCACTTCGGAGTCTGCTTTGAAGTAGGCATATAGATTAGAAAGATGATCAGGAAACTTAATTCTATGGTTCCCATGATTAGACTAATTTGGTGATGGGAAGCTCGACAATAATATTATGGCGAATCTCAATAGTTTATTCAGGAATGGTTGAGTTTTATTTGGCTATCCTTTCAAATCTTTGACAATTTTTGATGGATTTGCTCCATTTCAATATAGTTGACTCGATGGAGAGTGAAAATGTAGCAATAGGGAGTTTAGGTAGATCTGCAGAATAACTAAAAAGATAAAACAGTGCCCTCAAATTTAAGTGTTGTGTTGTCTGTTATTTGATTATTTCTTATTTGTTGATCATGTGGGTAGCTAAGGAGTAAGTTAAAGATATGGTTTAACAAGAGAGCAAATTTATTAGGTACATCACTGAAAAGGTACTCATGGGCTCACTATTGAAGCTGTATAGTGATCTCAGTGGGGCATGCGATGACTAGGAAAAAGCCTTGCAAGAGTTGAGTTGCCTTAAACAACATCCACTAGAAAAAGGTCTTTTGCTATTACAATGATTCAGGCTGTTAGTTGTGCGCTTTTCTTATTGAAATGATTCTTTTGTACAATCAGGGATGGGAATTGGTTGACTTTTAATGTTTCTCATGTAACATTGCTCATGCTAGAGAACTTATGGCCTTGACTTTCTGTGCATTTTTTTGCCATGTGTTTGGCTGATTTCTTCTGAAGATCTACTATGTTTTTTTTTGTTAATTTAAAAGTGAGGGGAATGTTGGAAAATGGACCCAGACTACCAAATTGTAGAACTTTGTTAAGAGCATCAGAAGGCTCAGATGTTACGGCTGGATAAAACTCGCAAGCAAACTTTTAGAAATCAGAATGGTGTTTTAATGGTCACTGGAAATTAAAGGAAGACTGGAAGGCAACAGAAGGCTGTGGAAAGCGTGATCCTTTTTTTTATATCCACTATGTATAGGAGATTTATGAAATTGAATGTGATGAGGGTTGATAATTGGTTCTTTAGATGTTGTATGGAGTTCTGATTAAGATAGGAATACCGTGTTTGCACCTTTTTTATTGCTTTCAAAGGCGAGCAGGGTAGTATGCTTTCTAAGTAGAATTGGAATGTACAAGTCTGTCTGTATCTACTGCTTTGCTGCAGTATGCAGACTCTTTTTTTGTTCTATGTATAATATATATATTTTGATTTAGTAGAGTGTATGATGAGAGTATACATCATTTTCTATATAATAAGAATTCAACTTACATTCTTAATATACTTGCATTATCTACTTACATTTTTAGTATATGTGTACTTAATATACAACATTTAGAGTAGAAGGTTTCGAATACCGTCTTAAATTTTACATCTCCCAGCACGGAGCGCGGGCGGATGACTAGTTGTACATAATTTAACCATTTCCTCCGAACCAGGGTGGGTCCCGGGACCCACCCTGTTACCCTCTCCCTCCGCCACTGCCTCCATCATCTTAGCTAGTGACAACGTGAATGATACACATCATGGAAGAGGGATCTATCGCACAAGAAAGAAACGAGCAGGCTCAAATCTCACATGGCTACCTATATGCTCTCTCTCTCATTCTGATTCCCTAAACTAGATGCATAAACGACTGTTAAGAGAAAGTGATCAATCCAAGTCATAGTTGGTAAGCAAACAGTTGAAAAAAACTGATCCCCTACACAAATCTATTGCACGTCTCAGTCATCATCATAGGTTGTCCTAGTTACAATCAAGTTGTCATACATTAATTCGAAAGCCATTCGATTCACCAATCAAACCCACAGTGCCAATATGATCATGCAAACCTCAGTACTTGGAGCCCTCAAATCTCGAGATTTGGACAACGAACTAGGCTCCAAGCACACATATATAGATTCCAACCAATACAAAGCACACCCCCCCACACTTAAGATCGACATTGCCCTCAATGGAGCAGAGGGAAAGAGAAGGAGAACGATGTTACCGGGTGGAAATACTGTCGGGAGACTGAAAGTGGACTAGTCAGCGGGGCTAGCATCAGCAAAACACACCTGGTGATAGAAACCATAGTTCCAAGTGAACAAACCGAAAATAAACGAAAGGAAAACAAACCTTGGTGGGGTTGCCTCCCCACAAGTGCTTCTTTACCGTCTTTTAGCTGGACACCAGTAGGGTGGATGCTCAGAGAGGTGAAGGAACAGATGCCTCCAAAAGCGGATCCACATCGCTCTTGAGGTATAACTTCAAATGGTGGCCATGCACACGAGGGGTGTGACCACCAGCACTCGTCAACTCGACCTGGCCATCTGGCAGGATGCAAGCGAGTGAATACTCGGATGGCCAAGGCGGTCGAGGCTGTGGAGGCGGGACCAGCTCATAGTGGACTCCGACTGTCTTTTGAGCAGGCTTGGGTACCTGCAGCTTCAACCGCCACTCCTCCTTGATCTTTTCTTTTGGGAACGGAGTGGACGGGAGTGGCGGCGAAGATATGGGAGGGGGGTCCTGCAAAATGGGAAGCACAGAAGGATACACGACAGACTCGTGCTCCTGGTGAGAAACAACATGCAAAGGCGATGAAGTAGGGAGAGTATTAGCAATGGAAAATGTTATTCGCTCCTCGCCATCCCTCAAGACTAAGGTCCCATCATGTACATCTATGAGAGCCTTGGCGGTGGCCAAGAAAGGCCTTCCCAGTATAAGGGGCACTTCTGTGTCTTCATTGATGTCCAAGACAACAAAATCCACAGGATAAAAGAATCTGCCCACCTTAACCAGAAGGTCTTCCACTATGCCCCTAGGATGAAATATAGATCGGTCAGCTAATTGAATACTCATCCTAGTTGCACTGGGTTCACCTAGGCCTAGTTTCTTGAACAATTTATATGGCATAACATTGATACTAGCACCTAGATCCGCCAAGGACCTCTCTACATGAAATTTACCTATAGAGCACGGGATAGTAAAAATACCTAGGTCCTTCTACTTCGGCAGAAGCTTGTTCTGCAGAATGGTCGAGCACTCCTCGCTCAGCTCCACAGTGGCCAGCTCGCTCAGCTTCTGCTTCTTCGAGAGAAGACCTTCAGGAACTTTGCATACTTAGGCATTTGAGATAGTGCCTCCAGGAAGGGCACTTGGACAATCAGCTTCCTAAGCATGGACATGAAGTTCCCGAACTCTGCCTCTAGCCTGTCTTTGTGCAATCGAGTAGGGAAGGGGATTTGAGAGACATACTTCTTCACTACTGGTTGAGGCTTAGGAGCAAGCACCTCAACCTCCTTCTCCGCTTCTTCTTCAATAACTGGAAATGCCGAGGCAGGTCTCCCTCCCACTTGTCTGGCCAGGACAGGTGGGTCTGCAATCACTTTGCCGCTCCTTGTAGTGATAGCATTACAGTGGGCATTCGGGTCATTCAGATTAGGAATGGTATGACCCGGCAAGGTGCCCGGAGCCCTCTGTGCCACTGCTTGCGCCACACTCCCCAACTGAGTTTGGATATCCTGCAAAACAACCTGTGTGTTCCTTTGGCCAGCTTCAAGAGCCAGGAATTTACTCGAGGCCTTTTCCATTAACTGCTCGATAGTGTTGAATTTATGAGCACTGGAACTGGCAAGAGAACCCACCAAGTCTCGTAGTTCAGCTATCGGATCATTCTGCACTGGGGTTGCAGGGGCTGCTGGAAAGGTCGCGGCTGTGGTTGAGCAGCATGCCCCTGCATGGGCTAGTAGAGAGACTGCTGCTATTGCTGGAATTGCCCCTGCCTGGGCTGATATGGCAATCTCTGGAGGCCTGGCGGTCCCTGGGAGACTGGTGGTCTAGGATTGGCCCCAACCCAGGAGAAGTTGGGATGCTGGCGCCACCCCTCATTGTACGTGTTACTGTAGGGGTCATTGCGCCTAGCATTATTGATGAAGTTTACCTGCTCCTGGGATGTAGTCGACTCCCTCATCGCCTGACAGTCTTCCACAGTGTGATGGGTGCTCTCGCACACCTGGCAATGCATCGCCTGCTGCTGTCCAGTCCCTGAAATCATTCCAGAGCGATCGATGGCTGAAACCAGTTTCAATACCACCTGCATAAAATCAGACGACTGGGTGGCTACAGCATGCACACCCCGCCCTGGTGCTCATCTCTTCAAAAAGTTGATTTAGCTGTGGTGGTGTCTTGGTGAGCATATTCCCGTCGCAAACCGAGTCAATCAGCTGCTTGTCTTCCGGGAAGAGGGCATGGTAGAAGGTGCCCACCTTGAAGGCGTCGGTAAAACTATGGTTGGGAAACTTGAGGAAGAGACTGGTGTATCTCTCCCAAGCATCCCGAATGGTCTCATCTTCATCCTAAGTAAAGTGGTTAATTTGCTTGTGCAGGTCCGCCGTCTTGGACGGAGGATGGTAGCGGGTGAGGAACTTGTCTGCCAGGTTGGCGAACGTGGTGATCGAGCCTGGAGGTCGAGTGTCCAACCACTCATTGGCTTGCCCCTCCAGAGTAAATGGAAAGTACCTCAGTTGGATGGCATCAGTTGGACCCCATTGATCTTGATCCCATCGATGAGCTCGTGGAATCGCCTCAGGTGTGATCTAGGGCACTCTCCCTCCTTGCCACGGAATACCACCGAGCCGCGCAGCATGGTGATGACAGAGGTGCTCACCTCAAAGTTATTTGATGGCACTTGGGGGTGTTGGATGGGTGACCTCATGTCCGCGGCTCTAGCGGTCCAGTAGTACCCCATGGTCTGCTCCTCAAGAAAGACCACATCGTTGTTCTGTGGTTTACCCATTTCTTCCTCCTCGGTGATTTGAAGCTGTGCTAGAGCCTCCTCCGCAGCCAGTCGCGCCATTAACGCCCGCTTGAAGTTCCTACAAGTCTGTTCAACCTCTTGGTCCAATGGTAGTAAATCTCCCGACTGGCTACGGGTCATGCACTACCTGCACTCGGAATACAAACACAACCCGTGAAGGCACAAAGGTGGAAGAGAGAGAATGCAGTAAAGAAAAAGATAGAGTAACAAACTTTCACGTTTCCACAATAATCTAGAAGTCCCCGGCAACGGCGCCAAAAACTTGACACGCTAAAACACAACACCAAACTGCGACCAAGTGTAATCGCAGTCCGGAAATGCAGTAAGTGGCAAGCTCTATTTGTCAACCCGGGGCCTGGATCTACTGCCTACTCCGTGATTATTTATTATCTAGCAAACTAAGTCGAGTGATTGTGGTTTTAACTAAAAGTAGTAAGAAAGCAGGAAATGGTTCGGTTTTCTAAAGTAAGGGAAGAGTCACTCGGGAATGAGTCCCCCTAGCTCCTTAGTTAGGTCACAGTTGTAATTACTTTTGGTTGCTTTACTGTTGATTATACTGTGGAAGATCCGACAGTAGCTTGGAATCTCTTAAGCTGACCAAGCCCTCTCAGTCAAACTACCCGACAGACGACTAGTCTTCACCGGAATAGAAAGCTGAGGCTATGAACACAGAACTCCACTACTGGAACTGAATTCCAGTACAAAGCAGTGAATCGACTAACTCTCGTATAATCGATTCACTACTACCGATTGAAGAAGCTCTAACAACCTAATCAGATTCCATCTATCTCAGGTTGCAGCAGAAAACAATAAAAGATGACCAGGCTTCAATTGACTCAATCAAAACAATTCAATCGATTATAATCAAACAATATCACAATCCAAACGTCGTTACAACAATGATCCCTAACACATAGAACTAGGGTTCTTCATACCCAAGTGAAAGAGGGTTCTACTCCATATAGAGAGAGAGGAAAACAGCAAACAAAGCTGTCATATCATCAAGATGGGAAGAATCTGCTCAAAGGATGATTTCCAAGCTTGATTGATGAAACCCAGCTCCAAAACCACTCTTAGGGGGTGTTCTTCGCACTTTCTCTCTCTAGGGCTCTGTTTTTGCTCCAAAAAATCGATCCGCTCTCCTTAGGCTCGAAATTGGGTTAAAACCCAGAATTTCCCGACGACACGGCCGTGTGGCTTTCCAGTCTGCCCGTGTGGATGTGAAAACGCCGTGTTTCAATTAGTGGTCTTCAGGCACGCTGCACGACCAGAAGCACACGGCCTTGTGGATTTTTAGTCTGACCGTGTGAGCTCCCTGGACTTTCCACACAGCCACAAGGGGTCCAATACACGGCCAGTGTGGCTTGGCCGCGTAATGGGATTCCACACGGCCACACCACACGGCCGTGTGGCTGCTAGGTCTGGCCGTGTGGATTCCTCAGCTCCTCGCCAGACGTCCAACTTTCATCCAATCGACTCGAAACTCGCTCCCAAACCTCCAATCACGTACTAGGACCTGAAATAACACAAACGAGAACAACCTAGCGTGAAATCGGCCTAAGATACGAGAAATAAGGCTAAAACGGCCTAAGAATGGTGGATAAAAACATGTGTATATATCAAGTCATCACGCTTCCAACATCTCGACATACAAACCGCACGATCCAAGGAAAATTTTCATCCTTGTGCCTCAAGTATCTGACCTTCCAGATTGAAGGTGACGACTCCACCACGCCATATTGAAAGTTGCATTGTAGTGCGTGGTATTTAATTGCCATATGTGCAGTTTGTTTCGAGTGAAATATCTGCCCCTTGTAGAATTCTCCTTCAAAACTAGCAACAACAGGCATTGGAATTATGCCATATGAATCAGCATATGATAATTCGTCGTCCTCTTCATTACCCTGCAAGTAAAAATATGGAGGATAATTAGGCTGCTCTCCTTTGCCATCTTCCTCCTCCTCCTCTTCCTCCTCCTCTTCCGCATCATCCTCCTCTCCGTCAACATCGTCATGATCGGATGGCATGCTCCATGTATCTTCTTCCTCTCCATCCCGATTCTCACTGAGCTCAGCATGTATCTTAGCACCCAAACAATAAGGGTTTTGTGCCATAAAATAGAAAAGCACATTCAAACTATCATCATCCACAATAGGCATCGAATAATGAAATAAAACACCATTCTGCCATTTTGGAAGACTGTAAGTGAAACATGTGATAACATCACTATCTTGTGCTGCTTCGTCTCTACGTCGTATTCTCGGAATTAGATTCTCACAAAGTTTGTGATATGTCACCCTAGATGGAACCGTCAAGGCGTCAACTGAAAACTACTACCACCAACGAATTTGACGCCCAAATTATCCTCTACTTTCTCCGATTTCCACCGAACGACTAGTTCAAATCTTCTAAAATCACTAAAAAAAACAAACTCACTAATTAACTAAAGAAAATCATAATTGCATTTGAATAATATAATTAAAAAAATAAATGTGTCTCTTACCTATTAGTCATTTATGCAGCAGCAACCAGAGCTTCTCCTCCTCAAACTTCGTTGATTTTTTTTTGTGAACAACTGAAACGAAATTCGCTGGTTTTATAGGGGGTAGCCAGCAATACACCAATGGACCCGCCATAGTCTTGGGCGCCATCGCCAGATACAATTTCTCACAACACGCCTCAGTCTCAGGCGGTACTGCCTCAGTCTTTGGCGGCGTCACTGTAAACTTTAATTAAATGATCCAAAAAACAGAAATGACGGCGGTGCCTGATCTCAGGTAGTCTCGCTGGTTGTGCTCTCCAAAGTACAATATCTGTGTCAATACTTTTTAATCCGTCTTATTTGTGGTAAATTAAAAAAATACAAATTTATGTAATTAACCCAAAAATCTTATTATCATTGCAATTTCAGATGTGACATCAATCACTTAATATTAAAATTTCCAACAAACTGTAATCCGATTATCTCAGGAGGCTGATATTTTTTTTCTCAAGTTAATGTGCATTACAACTTACAAGACTTGTCATTAGAATTTTTAGCTTCGAAAATTGGATAATACAACTATTCAACCAAGTTCGATAGTTTTTGTTTAAAAAAACGAGTAAAACACGATGGATTAAATATATTTTTTATTTTTTTACCTTATAAATATAGGTGTACAGACACAAATGTGAAATGTATATACTTTTATTTTTGGTTATTAGCTCACTAAACCAACCCACTCATAGTCAATCGTACTAAACCCCCCATTGGATTAACTTTATTCCACTTGCGGCATCGAAAGGGTAAAAAATAATAAAAACCCTTTTTTTACTGCGCCGGCGTCTTGATATAAGCCAAATGGGTCGAATTCCCAACTCTGGTCATCGTCTTCAGCTCCTCCGCAATCCAGCACTGCGACGAATCCGTATGGTAAAAGTAACCCAAACACTTGCAATCCTTGCTACACTTGTCCGCACAATTCTGCTGCTTCACCGGCCCATCCCCTCTCGTATACTTCAGCGCAAAATGATCCACCCCTTTCAATTCAAAGTACTTCACCTTCCCGCCGCAGCCGCTCAGCTTCGGCGCCCTGCAATCGCTGCTCCACCCCGCCAGCCCGTTCGGCGTCGGGCAGCCGACGCACTGGCTGTTCTCGCAGACCCCGAGCTCCCCGCACCGGCCGGGCAGCTGGCATTTCGTCTCCAGAGCCCACAGATCGTCTTCGGAGAACACGGTTACGGAGATTTCCCACCGCTGGAACTCGGATCCTTCGGAATCGGTCCCGATTATAAAGGTGTGGATCCTCAAATTGCCGTCGGTTTCCAGGCGGAGGTACGAGAGGGTTGTGTTGAAGCGCGGGTTCTTGAACACATACCCGCCGCCGCCGCTGGTGGAGTTGGCGACTTCGGCTTGGAGACCCAGAGTTGGGGTCAGAGTGATGTTGAGTACGGTGCTCCCGTCTGGGATGAAGAAGCGTTCCCTGCCGGCGAATGAGAAGTACCGATAAGGTGTTCGACTGTTTGCCCCAGTGAAGTACATCGCCACATCCCTGGGTTCCATCACCAGACTGTACGCCCCGTTCCTGTTCTGCTCGGCCGAGGCTCGGCTGACTAGCTTCGTGGCAGCTCCGAGTCGAAGCGACTGGCCCACCAAGAGTGTGTCGGTGGGTGAATCGAAGCTCTGCCAGACGAATCCGCCGTTGGAATTTTTCAGGACCATGTTCCCGTTGTTGAGGAGCTCGAACCCAACCACGCCCTTGTTGGCGGTGTTGGATTGCCAGGCGACTCGGCCGTCGGAATGTGCCAGGACGAGGTTTCCATTGGCGCCGAGGGAGAAAGTGGCGTTTTCGCCAACTGGGTTGCCACGATTGGCCTCCCAAACCCATCTCATCAAGGCTTCTGATCTCACGGTGCCCATACGCAGAGCCAAGGTGTACTGCCCTGGGGTGGTGTTGTAGAAGCAGAGCTGGAATGGGGCTCTGGCGATGGACAGAACGCGGTAGTTCGCGTCGTACTCGACGATGTAGTCGCCGAAATCGCCTTCATTGACGAAGGAGAATCGGCCGGAGGGAGGGACGGTGGCTTGGGAAGTGGAAGGGAAGATGGTGAGGGACAACAAGGAGACGCAGAGGAGAAATGTCGGCAGCATTTTGAGCTGGGTAAACATTTTTTTTTTGCTGTTGTTGTTTCTTGCTTTGAATTGGAATGAGATTGGCAATGGCTTCTCGATTTATATACAGGTGGAAGGAACTTTGCAGAAGGGTGCATTTCTAGTCAAGATTTTGCAATCGTTGAAAGTTCATGTTCAATGTCGACTGCTGAATGAATTGGTGGATAATGTTTTGAAGCAAGTGGGCACGTTGACAGCCTTTCAAGTTTGTCCCACCCACAGTATAGTTGCCTTTTATGGCTGCTGAAGAGAGGATGAGGTTTTAACTTTTAAGCCTTTAACGTGGTCCAATTTTTTCCTTAATGTGGGAGGCTGGGAGCAAAGCAGCCTCATTATATGAACTAATAGTAATAGGAATGTGAAGTTAAAAAAAAAGTCACATCATCTTAACAAATGGTGAAATGCAATGTCTTGGGCATTTTCCCCCAAAGTACACGAGTTTTTAAAAAATTTCTCTAAATACAATAATTGTATAAAAGTTTCTCAAATATACACATGTTTTAACAAAATCATTAATGTCAAAAGCGATCTATAATAAAATTGCGGAGGAGAAAAGCGATGAGCATATTGATCGCTGTAGACTGCAGCGATCCATGCTTGTTGGTATAAATCGCAGATTTTCAAAGTGATTTACATATAATCTCCTCCCGGGCCCTTGCTAATGTGGCCCCATCGTTTCTTCCTATTTTTCATTTTGGTAAAAAATAAATAGGAAAATGATATTATGTGATATTTTTTAATATTTTGAGTTAAAAGATGCTGAGTTGGCAATGACGTGACAGATTGACCGTTAATCAACGATTTTGACCTTCAAACATAACGATCAACTCTCAGATTTGGTCAATTTAGTAACTTATATAGTTAGTTCAGGCCATGATGTTAAATACCGAAAAGATAAGTCAAGATGTTAAACATGAATAAAGCTCATACTAGACAAATATATTAACCTTTAGAATATGAGATAATTTGACTTCTCAAAAATTATAAAAAAAGTCCCATCATCTCTACAATGGGTGAAATTTAATAGTCTTGTTAATGTGAAAAAATCTGTAAAGTGGAAACAAATGAAAAAAGAAATTACACCAGATACAGTTTATGTGATTTCTATCTCTTAGTTCTTTTTCTTATTGATTTATTGAACTTGAGAACTTGGAGCTTAGAGCCGTTTTACGTCTAAGTTAGAATGGGTCGAACGATAACCCTAACAATGAATCAGAAGAGAGCAATTATTTACAATTCGACACCCCAAAAATAAAGGAACCGTAATACTCCCCTCAAGTAAAGAAAGACATGGATGACAAAAATGTCGAGTTGGAGAGAAGATGGAGAAATTAATCAATAGTGAGATCCTTAGTGAGAGGCACAACAAGAAAACTTATTTTTTGCACCAGAACAAATCCTTGTCGAAGGATAAAAAATTTATCGTGAAAGACTTCTTCGACGAAAATCGACGTCACAAAAGATACTTAAATGGTTGTCGCATATACAATGGCGCATAAAGTTATGGGGTTAATTGCATGGTTGGTCACTGAGATTACAAAAAAAGTTCAAGTTTGGTCATTCGAAATATTTAAATCCATTGGTGGTACTTCAGTTTACTGAAACCGTTCACATTTGGTCACTCTTCGTCCAACTCCGTTAACTTTTGCTTACGTGGCAGTCAACTCTAAAAGTGAACCGTTAAATGTGTGATGTGGCAATTAAAAATAATTAAATAAATAAAATTTAATTTTGAAAATTTTCACCTCATTTAAAAATTTAAAAAATCCCTGTAGTTCAGATACACGCTCCTCGGATTCTTCGAGACTAACGGGGTCATTTAGCAGTAGATCCTCCGAATCTGGCCCATATAATTCTTCTCTGCCTCAACCCCGACCACCTTCCACGAAATCGAGTACTGAATCTTGTAAAGATTCCCGAAACGATGAGGAAACGACGTCTCGGTCACCGACACCTCGTCCATCGCTCCACCGTACGGGTTGAACACGAACCCTATTTCCCCCGACTCGATCATCTTCTTCCAAATCCACTCCAAACTAGCTTTCGAGATCGGGGTCTGAACATAGTACGACTTCCTCTTCCCGAAGTTGACCGATTCCTGATGCCTGCTCAGCTGCTCGACAATGCTGCCGGGTTCGTCTCATTGTCTAATCCCCACCATAGAACAGACTGAATCCAACTCATTTCCAAGCAATCTTCCTTTTGTCAACCCCAATTCAGGAAATTCCTTACCCAGCAATGCTACAAGACTGTCGGCATTCCCCAAATACTCTACCAAAACCGACGCTCTGACCGTGGTCTCACCTTTCTTCGTCTTTGAACTCACCGGCTGCAGGAGCATCCTCATGAACACATCCTTCGTCTTCTTCGAAGCCACAAGTTTCCATTGATAAGCCAATTCAATCACGTTTTGCTCCAAATACTTCTCTACCCTGAAAATGGTAACCGTTTCGGGGTCGGGTACGAGCACAATCTTGTACGCGATGATAACGCCGAAACTAGCTTCGCCGCCATCGCAAATCGCCCAGAACATCTCCTCCCCCATAGAATCCCTGTCGAGAAGTTTTCCATTCACATCCATGATTTGGGTGTCGACGACGTTGTCAGTTGAGAGGCCGTACTTCCTCAGGAGGTTCCCGTATCCGGCGCCACTCAAGTGCTCGCCGACTCCGACCGTGGGGCAGATCTCGGCGGGGAACCCAAGGACGTTGCTCTTCTGCCAGATTTGGTAGTAGAGCTCGCCGAGGGTACGCCGGCCTAGACCTAGCCGGATTTGGTGGCAGCGTCGATTTCGATGGAGCGGAGATTGAACACGTCGAAGATGAAGAAAGGGGATTCGGAGACGTAGTAGAGGTCTTCGTAGTCGTGGCCGCCACTGTGAGTCTTCAGCTGGTAGCCGCCGGCCTTGGTGCAGAGGACGGCGGCCTGGACATGGGAGATTTTGGTCAGGGTTATAATGATTGAGGGTCTGGGGGTGGAGGATTGGAGGAAGTGTTGAGGCGGGAGTTACGGATGTAGGCCTGGAGAATCGAATTGAAGGTTCGGTTTGTGGGGGAGTAGACGAGGTCCGAGATCTTGTCTTCTAGGGCAGTGTAGGTTTCCAGGCACCGAAGGAATGATTGGTACACGGAATAGTTAGAACTGAGGTGAAAATTTAAAAATTCAAATTTTATTTATTTAATTATTTTTAATTGCCACGTCACATTTTAACGGTCAACTTTTAGAGTTGACTGCCACGTAACCAAAAGTTAATGGAGTTGGACGGAGAGTGACCAAACGTGAACGGTTTCAATAAACTGAAGTACCACCAATGGATTTAAATATTTCGAGTGACCAAACTTGAACGTTTATTGTAATCTTAGTGACCAACCATGCAATTAACCCTAAAGTTATGCTATGGAAAACCATTGGCTCGACATAGAAGATATATGATCGTCGCTGAATATGCGAAGCTTTAATGACGAAGATGTCGTCTCCAAATGTATCTTTTGCAATAAAAATATAGCATTCACAAAAAGATCACTAAATGCGATGAAAAAGAGAAGCAAACCCACTAGAGGACAAAAATGTTACAATATTATTATTGTGACCTACTATTATATATAGTTAAATATGAAACTTCTAAAACTTTTGAATTAAGCAGTTTTGGCAGTGGTATGAAGAGCAACCAAAGATGCATAAGCACCATCTCTGATGCTTATCAACTTTTCATGATTACCCTTTTCCACAATCACTCCATTTTTCACCACTGCAATCAAATCTGCATTCTTAATCGTAGACAGACGATGAGCCACCACAATGGTGGTTCGATTCACCATTACGCGATCTAGCGCGTCTTGTACTACTCTCTCAGACTCCGCATCTAGTGCACTGGTCGCTTCATCTAGTAACAGAATCTTTGGTTCTTTCACAATAGCTCGAGCTATGGCAACCCTCTGCTTTTGCCCACCCGATAGTTGGATTCCACGCTCCCCGACAATCGTATCGTAGCCTTGGTGCAATCCACTAATGAAACTGTGGGCATTGGCAAGCTCTGATGCGGCTATGACATCTGCCTCGCTTGCATTTCCTTCCTTGCCGTATGCAATGTTTGCTCGAATCGTGTCATTGAATAGTGAAGGTTCTTGGCCAACCAACCCCATTTGCTTTCTTAGCCATTTCAAGTTAAGCTTCCTGATTTCGATGCCATCCAACGTGATCTCGCCCGAATCTGGATTGTAAAACCTCTGCAACAATGCAATCACCGTCGATTTTCCGCTTCCACTTTCACCCACCAGTGCAACAGTCTGCAACAAGGAACGAAACAACAAGAAGTTATGGAGTATTCTCAAATCCTGCAAAACACATTAGGACCTCCCTTAAACTAACTACTATTTCAGGCTTTGCATTTCAACGTTGCACAATCTAGATGAAGGATGCTTCCTGACAAGCATGTACCTTTCCAGACTGGATGGCTAAATTGATGTCTCTGAAGATCTGGACATCTGGCCTAGATGGGTACTTGAAGCTGACACGAACAAGTTCAATCTCTCCTTTCACATTCTCTAGTACAGTTCCTGACTCATCACTTGGGTCAATTTGAGACTTCCTATCTATGATTGAGAACACTGAAGCAGCTGCTGCTTTGGCCTTGGAGGTATCAGCACCACTGCCTGAATGAGATACTCCTATTGATGCCATGGTCAGAGCAAAGAACACCTTCAAAGAAAAGGAAGAAAACAACTTGATAAATTTACTGCAGCCTCAAGTATCAAGTGCCTGAGAAGCTTTGCAGAGAATTCAGAATTTAGTTATAAAGTAAAAGCTGATAGGCTCGACGGAATCCAAGTAATTGCTCACCTGGAAAACATCTGGGAACGTTGCGTCACCACCAGCAACTAGTTTAGCTCCGGCGTAGAAACTGATTGCATAGAAAGAGTAGAGAAATAAGGAAGACATTCCTAGGCCAACTCCACTTATGAGCCCCTGCTTTACCCCAGTTTTCACTGGTCCATCGCATTTCTTCTTATACAGTCCCATCACCTTATCTTCGGCACAGAAGGAGGCAACAGTTCTTATGCTCCCAACCGCATCATTCGCCACTTGGCTAGCTTCCTCATACATTGCCTACAACAATGGTTTACGTTGAATCGGATTCATTAAGTTCGTACATATTCTGAAAATGGATGTCAAAATGAAAAGCTTTCACATACCTTCGCATCGGAACTGAATCCCTTCATGAATTTCGCTTGGGCGAAGCCATTGATGAGCGTGAGGGGGATCAACGCAAGGATAATGAAGGCGAGTTGCCAACTCGCGGTGAAAGCAATGATCAAAGCAGCAACCCCTGTGGCCACATTTTGGACAGTCTGAGCCAGAGCATCCCCAACTAGAGACCGTACGATGGCAGCATCCGCTGAGAGTCGAGCACCAATAGCCCCACTCGAATGCTCGGGCTCGTCGAACCAACCGATCTCATTGCGAACCACCTTCTCGAAGCACGTCGACCTTATCCTCTGGATCAATTTCGACCCAGCGATCGAGAAAAGATACGACCTCAATGGATGCACGATTAATGTTGCCAACCCAAGAGTCATGAACATGAGTGACCAAAACTTGGTATCCTTCTTTAGTTCGCTAGGAGTTTCGAAGAAGGACATGATTGCTTTGGATATCAGGACCCCGTAGAGGGGCATGATGGCGCCATTGACACATGCTGCAATTGTACCAGCCACGAGAACCGGGAGCTCCGGCTTGTTCAGGTAAGCCAAGCGGGAGATTGGGACGTCTGGGGTGTTTGCCTTTCTTGGGAAGTCTTCCAATTCCTCCATGTTTTGATGGTCTAGGGGGACAATATCGAGGCCCGCGGGGACACCAAACGAGACTGAGAACGACCTGCGACTGCTGTTTCTCGATGAACCTTTACTTGTTGATCTCATTATCGATGACCTTTTCAGGCTTGATTGTCGGAATGATTCCGAAGCGAGTTCGATCCTATCCGGATCTTGATGTTCTGATTCTGGCTGCTCTGTTTCTTTGTTCATTTCTTGCAAGCGAATTAGTTGCGAGTATGCTCCCTCTGGATCCTCTAGTAGTTTTGCATGAGAACCTGTTCAAATTGTGACCATAGCAACTTATCATTGAACTAAACTTTCTCGATCGACAGAGTGGGTTAGAGCATGTAAAAAGGACATACCTTTCTCAACGATCTTTCCATGGTGAATGACAGCAATCACATCAGCATCTCTTACGGTGGTCAATCGATGAGCGACGATCACAGTTGTTCTTTCCACCATGATCCTCTCCAGTGCTTCTTGCACAACCCTCTCTGATTCCGCATCTAGGGCGCTCGTTGCTTCATCCAACAGCAAAATTCGAGGGTTCTTTAGGATTGCCCTGGCTATGGCGATCCTCTGTTTCTGCCCGCCCGAAAGCTGTGTCCCATGCTCGCCAACCATCGTGTCCACACCCTGAATGCATAGTAAATTTCATTTCCTATTACAAGAAACCAATTTAGATCTAAGAAGCCTAACTACTTTCATTGTTTAACTAACCTGAGGAAGCTTGTCAATGAATCTGGCAGCATTTGCAAGTTCGGTTGCGGCCCTAATTTCTTCATCAGTGGCACCATCCTTCCCATATGCTATATTCTCCCTAATGCTCGACGAAAACAAAACCGGCTCCTGGCTCACCAGCCCAATCTGCTGTCTAATCCACTTCAGCTGGAAGTCTTTCAAGTTGATTCCATCGATCATTACTTCTCCCGATTGCGGATCGTAGAACCTCTCGATCAGGCTGATCACGGTCGACTTCCCGCTCCCGCTGTGCCCAACCAATGCAGCAGTCTTCCCACTGGAGATGAAGAGCGAAAACCCGCTGAAGATTTGCTCCTCTGGTCTAGCCGGGTAGCAGAAATGCACGTCCTTCAGCTCAATGTCGCCCCGGATTTCGTCCAGCGTCCTTCCGTTGGGATCCGAGGCGTCTATCGTTGGACGCCTGTCGATCGTCTCGAACATCTTGTACGCCGCAGATTTCCCCGCCGCGAACGCACCCATCGGGGGAGCTGCCTGTCCCAGTGACCTGTTCAACAAAATATTCAGTTTGCAAATGCAGTTCATGTAACATTTGTACGAGTACAGAGATACATAGGTTTAAAGAAACTCACATGGATGCGGTTAAAACTGCGACGATGACGTTCAAAACTTGTCCGCCGGAGTATCCCTTCTCCAGTATCAGCCTCCCGCCGTACCATATGGCCAAGGCGTAGCTACAGAACACAATCACCATCATTACGCCGATGCCTACCCCAGAGGTGAGGCCTTCTTTCACCCCTGCTTTGTATGCAACTGCCAGAAACTTGTCGTAATTGCGGATCGCTTGCTTCTCCCCGGTAAATGATGCAACCTGTCAGCAGCAGAAAAAAATGTTAATCGCTATACTTGATTTGTTCATCAAGTCCCCTTCCAAGCTAAGAAAGAACAAGGACATACAGTTCGAATGGAGCCAATCGTTTGCTCGACTAGAGTCCCGGCCTCTGCATACGCCTGCTGCCCACTAGCAGTCATCTTGGACATGATCGTGGCCATCATGGCGCCGGCCAGTACCAGAAGTGGAATGGCGGACAGCATGACCAAGGAGAGCATCCACCCTTTGATAAATGCTATGGCGAATCCGCCTATGAATGTTGCTGTCAGCTGCAGAAACTTGCCAACCTGCCCAAGATTTTCCAAAGAACATATCAGCATTTAGAGGTCTAGAATCCAGGGTGAGAGTTGGATGTGGATGATATTGTTCTGGACAAACTAACCTTTTCGCCCATCGCGTCTTGAATCAGGACAGTGTCGCCTGACATCCTGCCGACGACCTCTCCGGTGCTCGTTTCGCTGTCGAAGAAAGCAATGTCCTGCCTCAGAATCGTCTGCAGATACAGGCCTCTTATTCTTGCTGCCTGCCTTTCTCCCGTTACCATCCAGCAAGTCACCTCTGAAAGGAAAAACAACATGAAAATTCCAGTTTTACAGGACATCATCGATTAACAAAAGCATTGCATTTGCACGGTTGTGCAATCAATTCACTTACCAAGAAATGCGGCCACCCCAGCTCCGATTCCCAAGTACACATACTTCAGCGACACCTGAAATCGAAAAACAAAACAACCCGGAATCCATCTTTTCGTCACGAATCCAAACCACCACATCTATAGAAGACCAAATAGAGCAACTGCAGAGAGAGTGAATTGGTACCTTGGAAATGGCGTGGACAACATCTTTGCTGCCCTGGTTCTGTCCAAACGAGTTGATGGTTTGCCCCATAATCACAGTCATGAGAGGCATGGCCATACCATTCCCAATCGCACCAATCGTCCCCAAAACCATCAGAAATACATCAGTAGAATCCGCGAACGAGAAGAGCTTCGTGAATGGAACCGATTTGGCAGCGGAGTTCTCAGCAGCAGAAGCTGTTGGTTTCTTCCCCTGCCCTGCTTCATGACCATCACCTCCTCCTGCTTCCCCAGCAGTATGATCTGAAGAAGGCGGAATCTCTCCCTCAATCTGCTCCTCCTCATCTTTCTCCCCAGCCATTACACAGATCGACGACGACGAAGATCCTCCCCGAAAAAGTTTCTATAAACTCTCACTTCTTCCCCCAGGAACTTCTTGGTGAGCAACTCTGCAGCGTGGAAGCAAAGCGAACATCAAGAAGTCGTAAAACATGAAACCCATTAAAGAAAGAGGGGAAAAAGTGCAGTTAAAGCAAATGCAATTTCCGCTGAAACGTCAAAGGACAGATGTTAGACACTATCATTGAGAGAGGTGTGAAGGAGCACTCAACTAGACTATAGTTCATAATCAATCATTTGACCGGCAAATAAACAAAGGAATCATCCATTATTGATCCATTCTGTGTTTTGAAATAACAAGATGGTGGTGGTGGTGGGGAATAAAGTCAAATGTACTGTACATTATGATGAAGAAGGGGGGCAGAGAAGCACTGAAGCAGAACCAGCTTTTTTTTCCGACGGATAGCTCACTTGAGCTGCCCAAACCAGGCTATATATTCCTCCCTGCTGCAATGGAAGAGTCGGACGGAAACAACGACAGTGGACAGGTTGGTGGGGCGGCGGCTTCCAAGCCGAACGGAGATGAACAACCAGTATAAGGTTGTCGAAGGAATTAATTGCGGCCGGTCAGTCAAACAAATTTCGTTATATTTTTAGTGAAAACGCCATATGGGGGACTATGTCATGTATTTGGAGCATCTTGATTTATTTTCTGTCGGTATTATAATTATTTTCTAGTGGGTGGGGATTCTTTTATCATCGTCTTGTTGTGTTCCCAACTAATCCTCAAATTCTGCTCAAACAAAGGTGTTGTCCTTTTCAAGTTAAAAAAAAAATGTAAGAATGGCGATGTCATGTTTGAAAATTGAAAGGCAAATTAAAATTAAATAATCTACTAATAATTAGTTAGTTCTAGTTGTTAAATGACCGCATTTCGCGGCTGAATTTGTTACTGCCATGACGTTAGTTGGACGTCATATTAGTTTTTAATACTAAGAATAAAAAAAGAAAGAAATAGAAAAACTGGAAAAAAAAATGTAGAATTGGACTTTAGTTAGTCAATAATAGCTATTGATAGATATAGGCTCTCAATTACATATTCATTCACTCATCAAATACATAAAACTTACACGTTTGTCAACCGAATTATTTTTCTTTCTTATTCGCCATAACTTTGCGAATGGTTTCAGCGTTAGTCACCGGCTGTTAGTTTCCGTCAAAATCCGTTAAATCCGTCAGTTTTTTGATGATGTGGCAAACGGAAATGTTGACTGCACAATTACGGATGGAGGATTTGGAAGCTTCCTACGAAATGGCGAAGTTGAACAACATTCAAGTCTGATTCAAGTCCAATTGTATACATTTTATCTCTCATTTCTTGATAGTTTGGCTTTGTATTTCATCGTCCCTCGACATATTTCACGCTAAGTTGTGCTTGTTTTGATACATTTCAGGTCCTAGCATGTGTGGAATGATCGAGGACGAGTTTCGGGTCGATTGGAGGTCGAAAAGCGTGAAAAAGTGGAAAAAAAACGTCCAAAGTCACGGTTTGGACGCTAGACCTTGACAATTGCCTCGTGACCGCGCGGGCGTCCAGGAAGCAGACGCAGTTCACGGTCACTAGGACCGTGAACTGCGAAGCATCCAGAGAGGTTTCAAAGGTTACTGACACCAAGCCAGTTCACGTTCGCTAAGACCGTTAACTAGGGCAATGGACCGTGAAGACCAGAAGTGAAGCGACACGTTTTTCTCACAGTTCATGGACGCGTCCTGATGTTCACGATCGCGAACTGGGCGCGATCTCAGTATATAATGAGAGCTGAAAGGAAGAAGGAGGGAGAGTCAAAGGGAGTTTTTTTAGGATTTTAGTTTCAGAATAAAGGAGGGTTTCTAGTGAGAGATTAGAGTTTCCTCTTCCTAATCTAGAGAAAGAAAGTGCAATTCAAAGGAGGAAGAAGGAGATTGGGCTCATTTCAAGCTAGAGGAGTGAAGGTTTCTTCTTCTCAAGGGAGATTCAAGCAACAAAGAGGAAAGATTTTCATCTCTTCATGGTTATTTTTCTCATTTTCCTTGTTTTCCTTTGCCTAGCTATGGAATAGCCTACCTATTCATTGGGTGTTTATAAACCCCAGCTACAACTATGTGAATGCTTGTATGAATTGAATGATTTGTGTGTGGTTTTGTTTAATGTGAATGTGGAGGTATTATTCATGAATGATTGTGTTGTGTGAAAGTCTATCAATCTAATTGTCATTCTAACCTAGGTAGAGAGAAAACCCCCTTCATTTCTTTGAAAGAGGCTTGAATGCTGGGTTTTCTTGGGTAAGTCATTGCTTCCTAGTTAGGTTAATGCAGGGCAAACCTCCTATTTCGTATTAGCACTTAGGGTTTGGTTGTGGGTGGTCATTCGAACTCCAATTAGTGGCTTGGATCGTATCCCATTTCCTCGACCTAGAGACTAAGAGGGTAACTTTGGCTACTTGTTAGACTTCCCTGCGGTTTAAAACCTCCTAACCACACACGGTCATTCGATCCTTCAAGTCGTAATTGTTATCTAAGGGGAGAAACACCCGGGTGAACTCTTCTCTCATTGGGACAACTTCGATTTACTTTACTTGCTTGTTTTCTTTTGTAGGTTTCTTAGTTTTAAACCCAAAAACGTTTGCTAGATAACAAACTAAGCGATTGAAGTAGGGGTACATGGACCGACCCGGGTTTGACAATTAAATACTTGCCCTATACTTCACCCGGCTAGAGTTTAAAAACTTGGGCACTAGTCAGTATTTATTCGCGGTGTAGTTTCGAGCGAGTCAAAGTCATATCACTTAAGTTTGTGAACTAGTTCAAAAAATGGGACTGAATTGTGGACCTGTATGAGGAGAAGAAGGTAAGACATCAAACACACAAGCATTGGTAAAGTTATTACACAAATCACAATATTGAAAGTCTCAAACCAAAAGAAAAAGCATAAACACAGTAGGTCAAAACACACAAACAAAAGTACAAGTAAGTCCTCCTTGAAGAAACATTAGTTTATGATATGACGGTCCTCTTGAAAACCAATTGTAAAAGGTTCCCATCTTAAAATGATCGTTGACGCCATGGTGGGGAAACTTAAAAAACAAACCAAAGTACCACCCCAAGCAGGGGGTGGACCCATCCTTTAGCAAGGTATGCCGCCCAACACACCTTCGGCTAGAATTTTTGTGAGAGGCCCACTTTTTTCGGTGTAAAAATTTTAAACACGAAAATACTGACACACTTTCGATAATTATTACTGACACATCTTATTACATTACAAATAATATATTTTTATAAAGTTACTAAAATATGTAAATATAGGAGTTATCAGACTTTAGACTATATACTTTATTATATAATTAAACAATTAATTGATTACTTAGTCTGTAGTGACTAGTGAGTATTCAGAAACATAACTGTCACCTTAACGATAACCTTGATCATTTGAATGAGAATTAAATTGATTCATAAGAGGGTTCAGACAAGTAATTAGATAGTGAATTCCAGGCCATCTTTTCTTATTGCTTTTTTCATTGAATATTTTTGAAATTAATTTCTAACTTGGTTTCTAGTTTAGTTACTGCTTTCCATTTAATTTATAGATAACATTTTTCTTTTCTTTTCAGATTCTTAATTTTAATCGTTAATTCTAGAGTTGTATCATTCCTTGTGGGACAATAATTTACTTACCTTTATTACTCTAACGATAATTTGCATATACATTTTATCACATCACTTTTTTAATGAACATGAATGAAAAATCCATCTCCACTTACATTAAAACATGTTCATCCCCTTACCCTTTTTAATTCGGATTTTTTTATCCTTTTTTCTGTCTGTCGAGTATCACAAGGAAATAAAATTTTCAACCCATTGCAGCTTTCTGTTCCACTCTCCAATTGTCAGCATCAGGTCAACGACATTCTCATTCAAACTTTCATGTTAACGCTTGTTCCACCCTTCCACCCTCCTATTCCACATTTCTCACCTAAAGGAATCAATGTTGAGTTTACATCTTTCAACTACAAGCTACAAAATGACCTTTTTCATCATGAATTATGAACTTAATAAAGAACGATCGTAATCAGTTGACATATGAATTAAGAAATCTTTCAGAATACGAAATTCATCATGGTTGACTGTAAGACAATAAAATTGTGAACCTTATGAATAATATTTTTATATGTTCCATCATGATGGTTTTGATCTCAAAATCATTTTAGGCGATGGGTGGATGTCGGATACTAGGTTGGATATCATTGACCTTGTTGGTGAAGTAGTACCTTGTGGTCCTCTCCGGCTGCACTTTAGTTGGCTGCTCGCCAAAGGTTGAATACGTCATTTATCTTCCTCAATTGTGTAACTTGGTTCGTTGCTTGCTTTAGAACTCAGTCTTTGTTCTCTTTCCCTCCTAAGGTCCTGAAGGGTATGGTTGTGATGATGGCATCAATGGACCAGTCACACGTGCAAAGGCAAGAGCGTAGAAGGAGAAGCTTGCAACGTATTTGGAAAGATATTTTGGAGCCATGGACGTGGAGTTGTTTCGAGGGAAGCCATATATGATGATTAGAGTGGAGGAAGAAGAAGGAAGTGCTGGAGAGAAGCCATATTGCAAGAAGGAGCTTGAACGGGTTTGCTTAACGGGTCCAGGCTTAACGGTTTGGGCAGTTTTCAAGTTTTCTTGTTTTAAAGTTGGTTTATGATTGTTTTCCATGTTGGAGTCGAATTTGGATTGTACTTTTCCTATTTAAAGGGCTGAACACGTTGGTTTGCCCTTAGACGATTATTATTGAATTTCAGAGGCTATTGCCGAGTCCCCTTGAGGAATTTTGCCCTAATTACTCTATTGAGAATTCTGGAGTATTAGAGCGACTCTTATCAGCTAGTTATTCACCCTAGTTGTGGCGAGCTACCCATATCAATTTCCCTTTATTCCGAGTTGAATCTGTCCAATTGATTCATATATCGATTGCCCTTATTCATGAGTGAGTACTGTCCGATCGATTTCCATCCTTTCTGATTCTTTTGGTTCGAATTGCTTGGAGTTGTGCAACTTTGATTATATCAAGTGTTATCAGAGCTAAGGTTCAAATCATTGGAGTGTTCTTGAAGTTGTTTGAAGATCTTGTGCGTTCTTGTTCACGTTATTAGTGGTTTTGTGCGAGTTCTTGAAGGTCTTGGCGTGTTCTTGAGTCGCAAGACAGAAGGGTGACT